CTGTGTGGGGGGGGCTACACCCTGTGGGGGCCAGGGGACCCACCCCTCTTGAGCAGCCCCCCCACAGGGTCCCCCAGCAATTGCCCCACACCTACCCACATACCGACCCACATCCCTCCACACACACCCACCCTCCCCGACACCTCTTCCCACTCCCTTCCTGCAAACACCACATCCCCCCATCAGACACCCCTCGTGTGAAGAAAACCAAAAGTACACATCAACACATATAGGTATTTAGAATTTATTTTATCAGGATGATAGAGACTCTGGTAGGCTTCCACATTGTTTTAACTTTGTAAATATACCAATAAAGCATTGCCCAACTGTTTGCTGTCTTTCTCTCTCTCTCTCTCTAGATGTGTGTGTGTAGAGTAGTCTTTTGTTTTAATTGTGGAAAAACATGGGTTTGGGGGTATTTTAAAAACTGGATTTGGGATGCTGTTGCAGCAGCCCAGCTGGCACAAGGGGTAGTGTCCCCAGGTAGTGTCAGCCTGCCAGGAGAGCAAGGGACAGACCTTACCTTGGGAGAACTGCCTTGGGGAAATTGCAGGAGTCAGTCTGCTCAGAGTGCAAGGGACAGGCCTTACTCTGGGAAAGCCACCTTATTGATCATGGTATCTCCCCTTGGATATAAGCTAGGGGGAAGTTTTGGCACAAACTGCTAAGCTCCAGTCCCAGCCTTGACACTGACTTGCTGCAAGGTCTGTTTGCACGGTGTGGTGTAGCTCTTGCGTACTAAGGGGAACTTCATACCATGTTGATCCACGATGAGGAACACCATCAGCAAAACTCAAAAACTAGAACGTAGCAATTTTTTGCACATGCCTATGTATTTCCTGCACTGCTGCTTAGGCATGCTCAGTACTGCTCCTAACACAGTGTTTCTCAGCATGTGGGTTGTGATCCAAAAATGGATTGCAAGAATATATGAAAGGGTTGTGAACAAACTTTAAAAATAGATCAGCAAATTGTAAAAATGGATTCTCCTTCAAAGGAGAAAAAGGTGAGAAACCACTGCCAGCCTGAAAGGGAAAAGCTGACTTCCAGCCTGCGAGGAGCTGCTTGGGGCTCCCCATGCCCCCCCACCCCACACACTGTAGGGCTGGGGCCTGGAGCTGGGAAGCAATGGGTCGGAAGTGAGGGGCACTGGGTGGGACTGCCCACTACAGATGGGTCCTGGTCCAAAAAAGGCTGAGAACCACTGCTCTAATGGGACCTACATTCCACTTCTTAAGCACCCAATAAGTAGGTAGAGCATGTTTTACCTGCAGCACTCCTTATCAAAGGATGATGCAGTGTAGAAGTGCCCCTAATGGTCTGGTTATGGTTTAGCTTAATCTACCTTGATTGCACTTTCAACTGACACCTTCACTTATCCCACGATCATTTGATGAGCCCTTAAATACACCTTTTTTTCCTAGCGCATTGTTTTTTGCATGTTTAGCTGAACCAGGTAACACACCTTAAATCTAACTAGTGTAACCAAGGGAAGTTAACAAACCTTTTTATCTTCTCCAGCTATATTTTAATCACAGAAAAACTGGCTTATCTGTGTAAGTGATTACTTTGAAAGTTAGTTAGTTAGTTAGTTAATAAGGCAATTTGAAAACATACACATTGCTGAGGTAACAAATCCCAGGTGGGAGAAAATGCATCTTTTTTCACAAGTGATTCATTAATTCAACATCCTGAAAGCGTATAGCGTTAGCCAAATATGACTCATTCATGAATGTGCTATGGAAAATGAATCGGGGTGGTATGCATTTCGCAGAATTTGTTTATTAATGTATCTACCATGGGAATGAAATTAAGATGATTAGGAGGGCTCTGGGTAGACTCTCTCACAAACAGCATCACTGAAGTAATACATTTTTCTTTTCCATATGCAAACAATACCTTGATATCAAATTATAAAGCTATTGAAGAAAACATCTGTTCTGCAATGCTGAACACAAGATTAGAGGAAAGCTGTTAGGCCAGGCAGGTTTCCGTTCCTGTTTCCTACACTAGCCAGCATTTACAGCTAAAAGGTTGACTTTAATTTTCACAGTTGATTTTTCCTTTACTTTTCCATCAGCTAATACAGAAAATAGTTGACTCCCTTTTGCTTATGGATTTTCTACTTATTTTCACACATTTAGTTACATAAAGTTGCCTTGTTTCCCTCAGCAAAACTCCAGGCAAATATACCCACAGGTGTGCCTGGTCAGAATAAATTACAACGTTAAGGCTTCTAGTGTGGTGACGCTTAACCCAAAATTTAGAAACCATTTTTCGATTCTAAAATCCGTATACATACTTCCTTAAATTTGTTAGTCTCAAAGGAAAACCTTTTTACCCAAGTGAAAACAGTCTCTCACCGGGCGAGTTGTGGAAATCTTCTCTTTGGTGGTGTTGCATATGTGAGTACAGGTAGGCCCACGCTGTCACGTGCAACCTGCCCAGGACTTGACCCTTTCTTTGCATTTCTTGTGTTCTACAACTGCAAGAGAAAGAGGCTTTTCCTTGGTTAATATAACAGACTTCAAAAAACAAAACAAAAAAACCCAAACCCCAACAAAGTCTTTGATTTATTTGTTATTTAATATATCATTTGCAGTCATCAAAGCAAAATAAAGAAGATGAGGTAAAACTTCCTAGAAAGACAACCCACAAGTACTTCCTAGTGTCCTGAAACGGAAGACCTTTGCTGCAAACCCACAGCAGACGCTGGATGAAGTTACTGTATCAGATGAAGATTTAAAAACATAATTTTTGCTGCTGTAGATGCCACTCCAATGCACAAACAGATTTCAAAGATCAAACTTGCAGCTATAAGGAGGTGTTGTCAAAGCTGAATGCGAATCACCTTTAAAAAAAAAAAATAATCAAGCAGCCGGGCCTGCTCTAGCCAACGCGCGCTCGGTTTCTCCACACAACTCGGGAGTTTCTGCGTGGGTCCGAGGAGCCGCTTCAGCCTTTCTTACAAACCAGGCCCCGAGTCCCGCCTGCGCGCTTCCAACCAGCCACAAAATAAACGGTGATGTCTCGTCTTCCGCTGCTTCTCGAGTCACGTTTACCCAGGCCTGGGAAAGACAGATAAGACTGAGACAATAAACCCTCTCCCAGGTTTGTTTGGGTTTTTTTGAGTTCTCCTGACAGCTTTGGACATAATCTCAGTGACCCATTGGCAGGGATTCCCCCCCTTGACACACACCCCCCTTTTATAAGCATCTCCCGCGCTGCCCTAGGGCAAACCCCACCTGCAAAACCAGGGGCCGTGCTGCTG